CTTTAAGGGAAAAGAAAATTTCCTTGGAACCCTACAGGAGCCCAGATAACATTAAAAACAAAAGTTAAGCTTGGAAGATTTGTTTGAGGGTGCTCTGTTTCGACAGGCCTACTGCCTGTAAGGATTCAATCAGTTTCTACAGCTATTTGGGACACTGAGCGGATTTAAGGCTCTTTCACAGCTGTTTAGCTGGAACAAAAGATGCAGGAGGTGCAGGGACTATGAGACAGATGTCGTCAGGAGGACGTGAGGGAGAAAGGGCTGCGTTTGTGTCCTTGGGAGGAGCCTGACCTTTGTGCTTCTCTGCTTCCAATGCGTTTCTGCCCAGAACTCAGAATTCAGGAGCCTTGTGCGGCCCAGAAATCAGAGGTTTTGTGCTTGGTGCCCTGCTCCTTGTTTAAATGTGCTCTATTCCAGGATAAATGGATGCCCTGTTCTGAGCTTTCCTTCCCTGGAAAGACTGAAGACAAGTGCTTGCCAAGATAATATATAAAGTTCTCTCTCAAGTAAGAAATATGGTCTGAACTCAGCAGATGTCCAAACATTTTGAGGTGGAGGAAAGTACAAAAAAAATGTTGTTAGATTACTCAGTCTTATGAATGTTTTTGAAATTCTGAAGAATATATGCATATGTGTGTATGTTAAGTGCGTGTGTCTCCTCACATATGCACGTATGAGGTAATGAACAGTTACTACAAGAGCGTTAAACTAATTAAACTAGGAGGCCAGTAGACTGAGGTGGCTCTCATGCCTCGGTGGCCGGTGTTAAGCAAACCAAAATCAAAGCCTGTAAATGTCTCAAGGATCTGAAATCAAAACCTAAGGCCAACCAATCACAAGCGCCGACTAGGCTTTTAGCCCTGGCCACTGAATAATCTCCTTGCTTTGCTTCCGCCTTTTTTCTGCCAAAGTTTCTCCCCAGCTCTTGTCAGTGGAGCGCTCTTAAACACTTCCGGTTTAGCACTGCCTGATTCAAATCAACTTTTGCTCAAATAACCTCTTCAGATTTTTAATATGCCTCAGTCTATCATTTAACAAGAGGTCGGCGCTGCCAAGAGTGATTAGCAATTTCATCAAAGCTCTAATTCTCCTTCCCTCTGTTCATTTGTGCCTGCTAGATATGTACTGGGGACTCTATTGTGACATCTAAGACTAACGTTCAAGCATACGTTTGAGAAATCAGTCACTTTTGACTTTTTCATGATCCTCAAAGAAACTAATTTAGGCAAAACACTTAAAATATAGAATTGGGGGGAAAGATTTGCAAGATATGAAGGGTAAACCTAAAGTTTTCTGATTGAAAGCTCTTTCTGTTGATGATACTTCCAAAATGTTTAAGTGTACTGACTGATAGAGGCTCTTGCGGGGCCTTCGAGCCACCACTCTGTAGACTGCTAGCGGCGGTGAAGGCACTGGTTGCGGGGGGAGGGTGGTGGTTGATCTGAATTTGTTCTGCCTCCACGCAACTTTGATAAGCTGCTTTTTTGAACAAATGTTTACTATTTATCTCTTCTCTGAATAGTTTAGTAACTACTTGTAGTTTTATTGTCCATAGAGCAAGTGGTGTGAATTACACCGGAGAAGCAGGGAATGGTAGTCGAATTCCTGGACTTGCTGTTTGGTGCTCCCTACAGGAGACGATGGAGAGTGTGGGGCCTTTTCTGTGACATCAGTGCCAGCCGTCATCCTGATTTATGATTTAAAAAATATGCTGTCTTTGAATCACCTTCATTAGGGCATACTCTTTGAGGTGGTTTTTCCCTAATGATGATGAATTCTTCGTGCTGATCCAGCACTCTTTCTGAGTCCTTTTGTGTGCTCAAGAACTTTCATTTGCAAGACAAATGGCCAGTTCAGGGGCCGTCTGTACAGAAATGAGAGAAGGAAACTGAGCCATGGAAATACTGTGAGAGTATTTTTTAAACCTAAGCTGAGTTATGCAGTTTTTGGTTTGTTGTTGTTGTTGTTAATATGTGGGGGGAAAGTATAAAACTTCTTAAGAAAGGAAGTATAAAATTAATCACAATTAGTTTTGCTTTTAATTAATTACTCTATTGTAAAGGATACAATTATATGAAATCGAGAGTGGCCCAGAAAATTTAAGACATATCTCTTTGAATTCTGACTTCTTTCTGTCCCCCAACTCTGTATTTCAGCTCCATCTGGATGACCTTCAGGCATCTCAAATTCAGCATGTCTGAAAGTAAATTCCTTGCCCTCTTTCTCAGACCTCCACTTGTACTTGTCCTCTTGGTCTCTGAGGTACTTCTCAAGCTCAAGTCATCCTGGTCTCCCCCGTCTCATCCCTCACAGCAAGTCAGCCATGGTGTCTATCTACTCGCCCTGTCAAATGACTCCTTGCTCCTCCCTCCACTCCACTGCTCTGCCTTGATTCAAGCCTTCATCATTTCTTCCAAACAAATCCTACTTGGATATGCCTCCTCTGGCCTACAATATAAAGTTCACAATCTGGCTCAGCATACACGGTCCTTCCTGATTCATTCTCACCCAGCCTTAGCCCCATCCCCTCCAGCACCTTTCACACAAAGTCCTTTCACAGCTCCATGCTAGCCTTTGAATGGGCTGCCCCTGCCTTCTCTGCTGAACAAGCATTGATTCATCATTTAAGACCTGGTAAGGGCAAGGACTATGTTTTATATGTATATATTTATTTATTCATTCATTCATCCATCCATAGCAATCAGTCAAGTGCCTGGTAACTAGTACAATCTCAGATGTTTGCTGAATGAACGAATGAATGAATGAATTGAACTTACGCCCAGGGATATGGTTATAGCATGTTCTAAATACCTGAGGCACTTAGCCTCAACAGGGAGTATCTTCAATAGTACATAGCTTGAGTAGATATTGGAGGATATGTTTTTACCCTTGAACCTGTGCAGTATTTGCCCATTGTGTCTTCTAAGAGCTTTCTCTTCTGTACTCCTCCATGTGCTTTACTGGTCTCTCTTACCTTACACCCACTCCACGCACCCATGTATGAACACATAATTTTCTCGTTAGTGTATCCCCTTTATTAACAGCCTTCCCTGATTGATGGCAGAATTTTGACTATCACCACCCAAATACTCAGCTTCAACACTTGCTGTCCCTTCCACTCAGGCCTGGTGTCAGAACATCAGAGTTCTTACTCTTCTAAATGATGCCAATCAAAGAGCACTACTATAAAAAGCAATGGGGCCCGTTCCTCTTTAACAGTCCCATGATCACCACCCCTGCCAGATAATCTGATCTGACAGTGGATTCCACTACTGCATTTTGGGCTGACTGCCAGGACAAAAGGCAGCTTGAAGTCCCCAGTGACCCAGCCTGCATGCAGACAAAACAACAGGAAGCCCAGGCAGTGGGGCTGAACCAGTCCTCCTCCACCAGCCCTGCTGCAGCGCCGCGGAGCAGAGCCCGGGGCTGGTAGTCAGGGGAAAGTTGGCCCTTAGAGCAGCTCAGCATGGCTAGTCTGGCAGTGTTGCTTCCTCCAGGTGAGGTCGGGGAGGGAAGGAGAGTGGGAGCTAAGCTGATGGCAAATCCTGTTAAAATTGAGTGCAATCATGTCGTCATGTGACATGATGATAAGGTTTGATAAATACAGAGAGTTGGAGTTGGGATTCTCTTAAGGTGGAAAACAGTAAACATAAAAGCCCCTGTGAAAATTATCCATAGATTGGGAAGTAGTTGCTTATTAGCATCGTAAGGTGTTTACACTGTTCTAAGTGAACGGAATCTGCTTTCTTATGCTCCATCATGCACTTGTTTATTTTGTAGGCTAATTTTTTAAATTGTGGCACCAGGTGTTGTTCTTCTGTGGGGATTATTCTATTACTCTTTGACATTCTTTGGACGCCTGGAAGATTTGAAAGAGCTTTGATGTCCTTTTTTATAATAGAGCCTTGGGAATCACTTAATTTTAACTATGCCTTCTTAACTAAATATTTAGAAGTTCAGGTTTAATCGTATGTTAATTCAGTGCTATAATTTCCTTAATCCCATGTTTACTGGATCAATAACTGTTTAAGCAAGATTGAATCTGCAGTTGGTGGCCCCACTCCTAACATCCCATCCTTTCTCTATATAGCTTTGTTCACAACCCCTCAATATTATCATTCCAATAGCACCATGCCTGGAAGCCACAGAAGTGCTAAATGAAGTCAAAGTGATAGAGTTAGAACTTCAAGGGGTTTGGGCACCAGAGGAAGGGGAGACTTGTGAAAGGGAAAATGGAGTAACAGAGAATGGTATGTGGTCGTGATGAACTATGGAGGGCACCAAATGGTGTTGAAATAAGATCTGCATGCCAGTGCTCCTGGTTGGGTGAGCCTTGGTCTGTCTTGAAGTGGAAGCAATGGCTCCTGTTCTCTGACAGAAGGCTGGAGGGCTGGCTGCAGTGGGTGCTACAGTGGGAGAAAAAGGAACCAAGGAGTAAAAATGTCCCTTGAGATGAGGGGCAATATAACACAACCACTTATTGCCCCAACTTGGAACTTGGACACAGTAATGTCTTCAGAGGGCTACAGTTGAGTCCTTGAGGTGGAAAACAAAAGAGAAAAAGATATACGTTTGGCTCTTCCTCATGAAGCCTTTCCACCCTGGCTTCACTTCTAAGCCCCCAGCCCAGGCATTACTTTATCTATATATCTATATCTGTATGCCTACACCAGTGCCTATGTATCTATAGACCTAGGTATATAGATACACTAAGTCACATTTTTAAACAAGAGCTGAAGAATGCTTGGAAGCAGATGCCCATGAACTTTCCCTAGTCATATTTAGAATTTGTTTTAACCTAAAGTTATGAAGACAGACTTGAAGGGAGACATCCCCAACCTTGCTAAAATGTAAGTACAAAAAGGCACAAATTGGATGGATATTGATGATGTTATTTCTACTGTGACATCATCCATAGACTCCTAGTGTCTTTGCTTTGCTTCCCTATAGTGATCACAACATAAATTACTTGTCTTGTTTGACTTCCTTGTTCACCAAAGTTGAGCAGATTGTGGCCGTTTTCAACGCTTCTACCAGACAAAAAGCTTGGGACCATTTCTCGAAAGCTCAGCGCAAGAACATAGACATTTGGCGAAAGCATTCTGAGGTTGGTGATTTTATTATTACTTTTTAACCACCACACATCTGGATTGGCAGAGCACAGTGTGGCTGCAGCCGTTATGGTTTTTGTTACAGTGGGCAGTCATCCTGCCATTGTCCTGTCTGATTGTCAGCTCCAAATCCAGCTCAGATTTGTTCCTTATCCGGAAAAGCACCTGACTTAATGCTTAAGGATGGAGTGCTTTTCTCCCCTGCAAAGGGGGAAAAGAATCTCTCCCATTCACAGTAAAGAGCTCAAAAGTAAACCAAGGCACTTTGTCTATTTTGAAGAAAAGTGTTACATAAAATAGAAAACTAGCTTTTAAATAAATATGGGGTTTTTTCAGTGTTCGGTGCTGATGAAGGTTTGCTCTTTGGGCTAGAAATGGCAAGTATGCCTTTCATCCATGTGTTCTCATCATAAGTGGTGTCTTGGTCCCCAGTGCTCACCGGTGGGTTCTATCACACGTCTCCCCAGAGCAAATTTCCTCCGGGAAGTGAATGTGCAGGCTAGCCAAGTGCACCCTTCTGCATCAATGCATGTGTGAAGTGTGAGTATCTACCCCAAGGAAAGAGTCCAGAACTTGACCTTTCTGGCCACCTAGGCCCAGAACGTGTCATTAGTCATTGGTCGTCCAGCCGTTATTTTTAACCCACAGTGTAGTGTACGCTTTGAACCTGTAATTTAAAAGTAAGTATACTGTCTTCGTTTGCTTCTTCTTTTTTTTTTTTTTTGTAATGAGAGAATGTTTTCATTTGGATGCCTCTCCATCTCTAGCATGTTAATATTAAAGTTCTGTAAATGATATTCCCCTTTCAAAATCCCAAACTTATAGAAGGTAAGGTTTATTTATTTAATGATTTTGGCTCACACTTGTAAAATAAGTGTTTTATGTGGAGTCTGAGGAACCACAAAGTACTGTGATATCAATCATTTGGGTAGCATTTTAAGTGCCCATTAACTAATGCTAAATTACAGTTGAATACCAATGGCCCTAGATGTAACATCCACATGAATACCAAATGAATTCTTTATTATCACTGTTATTATGGAGAATACTGAATGACTTGACAATAATGTGACACTTAAAATGCTAGTGCAATTTATTGTTAAGAAGACATATTTTATTTTGTTCACAAATGCCTAAGAAGGTGGTTGGTGACGGTTGCAGTTCTGTTCCTCTGTTCAGGGTTATGAATAAGGAGGAGGTGGGATTTCTCTTTAATTTTTCAGAGGCCAGAAAAACGAAGGGTATTTACCTCATGCTCTCCCAGGCCCTGAATTGAGAGCCAAGTCAAGGTTGATTGTCAGAAGGAAAGAGTCCTCGATTATGGTGAAATATACAAATTGGAATCCATAAACTATGATTCAGATTTGGGGATGACCTATCTATGAATTGTTTATATTTCGTTTTCCTTCATGTAAAAACCAAACATGATTAAAAGAAATGTTGAGAAAGGCAGTGGCTTGAGGCTGAATAAACCTGGGCAGAAAAAGGCTGGCATTAGTATGTGAGTGTCAGCAAGTATCAGTTATTGATCTCCGTCATTCTTCAGTGCATGTCTGATCCCCTTCTCCAAGCCCTGCCTCCCCGGACTGGGGCTGTCCCCCTCTCTCTTGCTGAGCAGAACACACAAAGGCTTCCAGCTTTGTTCCAAGGAAGCCTGCTTGCTTTGCTGTGCCCGTACAGGGAGGTAGAAATGGATGCAGTCCTGAAAGGTGCTCCTGTGAAGGGTCTTTGTGCCTCCCTGCGATTCCCACCACCTCTTTTAATAAACTAGGAAATAGAATTCTAAATTACCTTTGATTTTCTCTCCTCCGTGTTGCTTAATTGATTAAATACCAGTTGGTAATTTAACATTGTGGATGATTTCTCAGTTGCATATAAGCTTGATAATTGGTTTGATTTTTCCACGTTCCCATGTACAGCATCTGTTAATTATCTGCAACACCTTTACAGATTTATTAGAGTGTACTAGTGATTTACCGCTGAACCAGAGGCACCCTGTGGAAACACCCTCAGCTTTTTTTTTATTCCCCTCCAATTTTTTCCTTTCCGACACCCTTCCTCACAAGAACAGCTACAGTATGACAGTTTGCCATTAATTGTGGGGACTATACAACAGGCTCTTTCGGCCTCATTTATTCTTTCCACCTGACTTTTCCTCATTTCAAGTATTTTCAAGCCACCTCTTTGGGAACTGGGCTCTTTGTCAGTAGAAAAATTAGCTGTCTGCAACCTAAAAACTGCCCCACTAATCACCTATGACACCCGCCTCCATACCTGATGGTGTTGTTTCAAGTGGAATTGGCACCTCTTTCTACTGGGTGGAAGGGTCAAGTACGGAGGCATTGCCCGTCATCCTGTGGCCTCTCAGGACTGCCCTGTGATGGGCGTGCCTGTCCCACGGACCTTGCCTCTCTGTCTCTCCGTTTCCCTGTCCTTGCAATAGTGATTCCCAGGGTTCAGAGTTGACCGTGCAAATACTGTTAGCAATAATCAATAATTTCCATTCCATCATGCTACAGTTAAAATCTGTGAGCTAAGGAGAGAAGAGAATTGAGAGAACCTATAACACAGGATAATATGTGCACATCCATCAGCTGAGCACTAGAACTATGTTTAAAGTTATGCCATTAATACATTAGGTGTTATAACTTAGTGTTATTGTTACTCATAGGTTTATTTATTATAAAGTGAAATTAAGTATTCAGCTTTTATTTAGAGACTTCAGTGTAAATGGGGGGAAAAAACTGCAGCTCTTTCCCCATTTTTTTTTTGGAGGATAGTACATGTAAAAGAACAGAATGGATAAGGATTCACAAATATATACAGCTTGATAAAAATAATAACATAATTATTTAATATAAACAACTACAGTGTCCTGAATTTTAGGCATGGTAGTAAAAAACTTATTGTGTAATTCTTTCCTTTTTACAATGAGTTTTTTTACATACACTCTCGTATTCAACAGCCTTGTATTACTACTCTTTCTCATTTATGTGTGAGTAGACAAAGGCTCAAAGAAATTAAATGCCTTGACTGTAGTCACCCCTCTAGTAAGTGGAGAAAGTAAGATATTACCCTAAGATCTTAAACTGACGCTAAAATAATCATCACAACAAAAACAATAAACCCTAATGATAATGTGAAACACCAAAAGAGAAGGCATCTGTTTTTATTTTGTCCTCTACCATCTTTTGAATTTCCATTTGGATATCTGAATGGTGTGTGTGTGTGGGGGGGGGGTGTGTGTGTGGGTGTGTGTGTGTGAGTGATCACACATAGGCACATACTCACATGCAGGGACACTTTTGGATGAAGAATAGTAGGGGTCAACATTATCAGTTTAGCAATCCAAGTGTCCAGGATGATGCTTGAGTATCCTACATGCATTAACTTACTTTATCCTCAAAGCTGTTATTATCACAGTATTCCCGTAAGTAAATCGAGGCTAAGAGAGATGAAGAAACATTCCTGAAGTTACAGAGTGGGTCAGTGGTAGATCAGACCTTTTACAAATGTCATTGCTCATGTTTCTGATCATTAGCTGTGAGTCCCTCCTGCATGCCAGTCATGGTAATAGGTATTTCTATGTAACCCTCACAGCAGCCCTACTAGGTGGATACTGTTATCCCCTTTTTTACAAATGGGGAAATTGAGACTTGAGAGATGAAATAATTTGCTGAAGAGCCCGTGACTAATCATAACACACCAAAAAGCCACGGGGAAAAGGTGTGTGACGTGTGTCCGTGACTCTGATGTTCATGTTTCCTCTACTTTCAGGAGCTCCGGAATGCTCAAAGTGAACAGCTCATGGGCATCCGCCGAGAAGAAGAAATGGAAATGTCAGATGATGAGAATTGTGACAGCCCTACTAAAAAACTGAGAGTCGATGAATCAGGTAATGCTGTAACTGCCATGTACCCGCGAGGTATCGTAATGATCTTCCTAATCTTAGGTGGGGTATACGTATCAGGAGATGGTCACATAACTCATTTTTATGTGAGTTATACTAAACTTTCATCTTTGAGTGACTCTGCTTTTATTAATAGAATTTTAAACTCCTTCTTAGGAACATGGTGATTTAAATTGCTCCAGTTGTTTCTCTAGACGTAGGTCTGGGGCCGTTATACTTTTTTTTCAGGGATATTTGCCTGTTACCATAAAAATCCTTTTCCAGAGTATGGCAGCCACCACTGATGCTGAAATAGAGATAAAATTTGGTTTCATACTTCTTACATGGGAATTGTTTAATCCCTAAAGAAGCTTTTTAGCCTCTGAGCCAAAGTGCTGGAGAAATAGACTTTTTTCCAATAAAGCTTACCCAACCTGTAATCAAAGAGTGGCCCATTTCGTGCCAAGAAAGGGGCATCACTCCTTGAGTTGTAAAATGGAGAGAAGCATAAAGAGAACCTTGCTTACTCTGCTCTCCCTAATCCAAGATGCAGATTTAAAACTCTCTCCAGGAGTTACATGGAAATTCCTTGGTGTTGTAAAAGCAGGCAAAGAAAGTGCTCACTCAAACCTAGGAGACACCAAGGGAGACTGCTTGTCCAAGGGGAAGAGAGTTGTCTAAAGGGCCTAGGAAAAACCACAATTGCACCATGGCCCAAAAAGAAAATTAGAGGAATGGCATAGATTTGATCTGTCTCTTCTTATGTATCAGTGAATAAAACACTCGCCTGTCTCAGGCTTTTTAACAAAGGTTCAGGTGACCAGGAACAGAGGATCTTTGCTAATTCATTGGTAGAAGCCAAAATCAAAATTCCAAAATGGTCAGGTCATCAAGATTGCAAAGTGGTCAGAATGCTCTGTTTCGCTGGGGCTGTAGAAGAGAATGCCAGAGGTGTAATGATGATCGCAAGCAAAAGCTCCTGCATCCAGGATATACAGAAGGGAGTTTAATTTCCTTAGAGCAGTGGTTCTTAAAAGTGTGGTTCCCAGTCTGGCAACATCAGCATCACCTAGGAACTTATAAGAAATGTAAATTTTCAGACCCTACTCAAGAGCTAGGGATCAGAATCTCTAGGGGAGGCAGCGGTGGAAAGTGAGATCCAGCAATCTGATTTCAGCCCTCCAGGCAATTCTGATGCATGCTAAAGTTCGAGAACCACTGCCTTAGAAACTTTCCTTTTCATCCTCAAATTCCGTTCATTTAAATTTTTTAGAAGCTTAGCATAAAAGAAGGCATCATGCCACTGTTTTTTGAAGCCGTATATCCTTTGTCTGAAAAATGAACCTAGTATTTATGTGTCAATGTATGTCTCTTATTAAGCTGATAGATTTCTCAGGACCACTTGATTATTGGGTTTAGATTTGCTTCCTTGAGGAAACGCCTTCCTTCCAGCATTTCTATTCTGCATACTTTCACAGGTCAAAAGAAAACAGTTTTAGTATGATTTTCTTAAATTCAGTGAGATCTTACCATAAATAAATAAATACAACTTTTTCTCAAAAAGCTTCCATCGTTTTTGAAGTTTCTAGATGAGGGACAAGTTTACATGAAACTTGGATCCTTAATATCCTTATAAGGTAGGTGTGTAAGAAAAGAATTGAGTCAATCAGAAATTCTGATTGGAACCTGTGGCTTTTATTATTTTTTGGGTAACATTTCTTTCTAAACAACCCATCAATTTCCCAAGTAAGAAATGTGTATAATTTCATAGCATGCTTGGGACGGGACAAGAATTATGACTCGAAACAGTAGGCTCACAGAGGAGATTTTACAGACACAGCAGCAAGATTATACCTGCTGGATCAGTGCCTGATCTCTGCTGCGGAAGAAACCAGAGAAGCCAAGGACCTCTCCCCTCGGCGGGGACCACAAGGGCCTCTCTGGAAGTTTGACTAAGAGCCCACTTCCCAGACCTCTCTTGGTTTTTCCCCAGGCATCTGAGAAGAGCCTGAAGCAGGACCTGAACTTTTAGAAACTTCCGCCAGGCTTGTTACTTGGTCAGCAGAATTAATGAACACAACACAGGGCATACTCTATGCCAAGAGCTGAAGGAAGAGATGAAAGAACTGGAGTTCAAATGCCAGGCCCCGAGGAGTTCAAAGTCTTTTCCATGCTTGTCAAAATGAGATGAGCCAGAGAAGAGGCGTGTGCCTTATGAGGAAAGCCAGGACTGATTAGAGGGAAGGGAAAGCAACTAACCTTTTTTATTCCGCTGGGCCCTGAAGATCCTGCCAAAAGGGAGACCGTTGTTTCTCTTTCGGCCGCGCATATTTGGGGACACAGCCTGACAGCAAGAATTCCCATCTGGTCTTTTGACCAAGCCTCAGAGGGATCCTTGCAAACTGCTGTTTGAAGGAGGGATCCAGCTGCTTGGCCTGAGGGAAACACACCTTTAGGTGACATGTCACTCATTTTAGGTACAGATTTGCATCATCCGTCACCCACAAACAGGCCTCTCAAAATGTAGCACTCTACTTCACTGCTGGGAATTGCCAAATGCCGAAGCAGCGGTAAAAGTCTCCATCCTTGAAAGCATCACTTACCCTTTTCCTTTGTGCTAAAACAGGGAGATTTTGCCTCAGAACTCCTGAGCTGACTCAAGAATTCTTGGAATTTCCAAGGGAGAACATCCTTCACGGAGCCTCCCGCCTGTGGGTGTCCGGCTGCACCTCCCGCAAGATGCTTGACTTTGGTCCACGGGGGTTGGCTGTGTTCTTCATCTCCCTCCTAGAACAAAAACTAACCAGTACAGGTTTATTTCTGAGGGGAAAATGGAGAGACTTGACTTAGTTTGGTTTCTAGAAGAGGCACCGTTTACTATGTGAGGGCTTGTATGATACCCTGGGTTTGATTATTTTTTAAGTCAAAGTTTTCCAATATATCACTGCTTTTCTGGTTATGAAGAGAATTTCGTTGTACTTTGCTTTTTACCACATATAATAATTTACAGTGTGTCTGGCTGGCATGTCCCAGGACTGCTGTAACTACAGGCTAATTCTGGCAGGCAGCTCACTGCTCCTCATCACTTGACTCTTAAAGGGGAAATGGGGTTTGCTGAAGCAAAACCAAGATGCTGAGAAAAATGAAAATGAGTTTTGTTAATAACTTTGAAAATCAAGACAGATGTATCGAAGCATTCTTTCAAGCAGATTGGCATCCTTCTCCAAAGCCTGTGAAGATAATTTTTGATAAAAATTCAAATTTATTGTTGCATAGTCTGTCTCCCCTACTGGAATCAAGCCAGCCTTTAAAAGCCAGATCTGTCCCTTCTCCTCTCTTTCCCTCTCCCTCTGTCCCTCTCCTTTTATCACTCTCCTTCTCCCTCCCTCCAGGTTGGCAGTGGAGGTGGGGCAGGAGTGCACAAGGAAGAAAGAGAGGAAAAGAGGAAGTCTGTCCTAGATCGAAAATCCCCCAGTGGCAGAACCCGATTAGTGTTAGCGTTGTAAGAGTTAAATGAGTCAGTGCGTGTCAAGCCCTTCCCACTGTACTCACAGTGTTGAGGACATAATAAGGACTCAGTAACTGGCAACTCCGTTTCTTAGTCATCCTCCAGCACCTGGCCCTGGGCTTTCACTAAGTAAGTGCTCAATAAAAGTTTGTTGTCTTCAGTTGCATATTCCCTTCTCCTGGTCTTTCTGTTTTGATACCATTGTCCCATAAGTTGATAGGAAGATGGTACTCCTAAGAACATTTGCTCTAATTAAATTTAAATTCCAAGCATTAAGAAGCATGTTTAAACAAAGACTATTCATTGCCCCAAAATTTTCAGAACTTTTATGCATACAGAATTCAGTGCCACGTGCTGAATAGACTGTGGCCCAGGAGTGAAACTCAGCCTCATTCTAATTATCAACAAACGTTTGTCAGCACCTTCTTGCGTTCAAGGCGCTGTGTACCCAAGGGATATGGCGAGGGTTAGATGAAGTCTACCCTGCCCTCAAGGGTATGAGACACTTTATGAAAGGGAGAAATAAACATTTTAAATTAATAAAAATACAGTGCCTGATGCCAAATATGTTCTAAAGCCATTAATTTAAATTCAATAACCAAAATGAACATCACTATCCAGCGTATGTACCTCATCCAATATTTAGTGAGTATACATTGAACACACATCTTGGAAGAGTAAAACGAAAACATCCCTTGCTTCATAGGCAACCCCTAAACCACTCCATAGTGCACAAACAAATGTTCTTGGATTTTAATGACACCTCATTTAAACTCTGAGACCTTTATAGGAGCAAGCACTCTTTTAATCATGAAGAGTGTTTTCTGGGTTGTGAATTTTCCATGGAAACTCACCACAACATAGGTACAGATTTTTTTCTTTTAATTTCAGTAAGTCAAACAAGGATTTCCCAAATCTTTTAGCCAACCAAGTCAAATGAGGGACTCGTAATTAGGTTCCATTGGAATTAGCGCTATTCAGTCTGTCTGAATAGGTTTATATGTTGCTGGAAGCTTTAGGTTAGAAAAAGTTACTAAGAAGGTTCTCTCTGGCTATCTGCTTGATCTCTTTGAACACCCAGACTGCCATCGTCTGTCTGTCTGTGTAAACTGATTTAGTTTATTTCCTGCATGAGAGTGTTTTTGAAAGATATAAAGGATGCCCAACAGGGAGGTTACAGTCAGGCACAAGCCTGAGAAGAGGCTCGGCGCTGCCCCCAGCACCAGCCTGGGCGCAGAAGGAAGGGGCTGTTGAGTGCCAGACCAGGGTTGTGCAGCCGACTGATGGGGCCAACTGAAGGGGGCCGCGTACCTCGAAGCTTCTGGAAACGTCCTTTTAGGAAACATTGAATGTGATCTAAGCAGGTTTGCTCTGGAGTGGCTCACAACTCTGCAGAGGACAAGAGCATTCAGACATGGAAAGGGAGGTGGCGTAGTCCAAGGCCACATGCCGGGGGCTGAGCTCCCTGCACCGGCAGACCCCAAAGGCAGGAGCGTCA